ACCGAGAAAGGAGCGAAAGGTGGTTCCAATATAGGAGACTGCGATGGAACCCCCTGTGGCTATAGAGTATGTAAAAATAATGGGAAATGTAAAGTTGAAAAGCCTGATTTCTCTTGCTTGTGCCCCAAGCAATGGATGGGGAAGACATGTGAGCAGTCTATTTATTGTTCACATAGTAAGTGTCTTCATGGAAGTGTTTGTATACCCAACCCGGTTTTATTTTCATATACCTGTGCCTGTAAACTTGGCTGGACAGGCCTGTGGTGTGAAAAACAGCTCTCATTTTTGATTGCAAAATTCACAGGCAATTCATACATCAAGTACACTGATTCCAATTATGAACAGAGAGATCTCAGATGTACTAGGGTATCTTTCAATTTTACCACCAGTCAAATGGATGGTTTGCTTGTTTGGTTAGGAAAGGCTGAAGACGAAGATAATGACTTTCTTGGAGTAGGTCTTCAAAACGGAATGCTAAAAGTTGTAGTTAACCTAGGAGAAAGAATTGTCATCCCTCTTATTCACCAAAGAAAGATGCTGTGTTGCAAAAAATGGTATTTTGTTGACATTGTGCAAAACTGGACTCTCATTAAAGTGTATCTTGATGAGGAACTTGTTCTTTTTGAAGATCTGGATCCACAAAGAAAATATACTGTTCTAAACTATGGAGGCATTTGCTATTTTGGAGGGTTTGGACTTGATAGGAGAGTAAGTGCTGTCACCTTAGGGCTCTTTAAGCAAGAACTAATTGGTAAAATAAAGGATGTTGCCCTTTTCCGGGAATCAAATAAAATAAATCTAACTAAGGGACAAGGGTATAATATATATAGCGGAGATAAGGAGTAACCAAGTAATAGAGACAAGGCTGTATTATTTATTTAAATTTGTTATAGCAGCTCACTCTATAGACTCTGGGCAGGCATAATTATAGATGGTCCATAATAGAACACTTGTAATCTGTAGCCTATTACTTGTCTGATTTTTTTTACAAAACATTAAACTCAACATGGTTACTTTCATAGTTTCTATGCTGCTTGATTGCCCACTTAATTCTTCCAATCATGTCGTCTGATTTGTAGGCCATTCATTTACCTCAACCCTACTTTGATTTTGACTCTTCCTTCCATGTTTCCTTTATGCTTGGCAATTGCTGACTGTCCGATTTTTAGGTGCTTTTCATGATTCTTTCCTAATATTCCTCATCACCATCACCATAATCAACCACCTGCATTTAATTGTAAAAGAAATCTTTCAAATCAATGCATTTTGCCTCTTTTCTGTTTTAGCTTTATTTCCTTCTCTTTTTTCCTATCCACAGCTATCTACACGATTTTAATCTGACCTAAATATTTCCTTCTCTCTGACACTGAATTGCAAAAATTTTAATCTTCCAAGAAACTGAATATTCAGACTTATACTTATTATTCAGCGTTCAAGTCAACCAGGGTCAAATGGTTTCCTATGACAAATCCACAAGATGGGGGTGGCTATTCAAAAAAAAAGTTAATTTTTCTTATACCTATTACATTTTTCTTATTTAAACTTACCATATTACACAATTGTCATTAAAAATATATCAGCTAATAATAGAGAATGGATCATATAGTTTAATGTTAATGCAAGTACAGGTAGTCCTTGACATATGACAATCCCAAAATTTCTGTGGCCAAGGGAGACAGTTGTTAAGTGAGTTTTGCCTCATTTTATGACCTTTCTTGCCACAGTTATTAAGTGAATCACTGCAGTTATGTTAGTAACAGTTAAGTAAATCTGGCTGCTCATTGACTTGTCAGAAGATTGCAAAAAGTGATCACATGACCCTGGGACACTGCAACCATCCTAAATATGTGCCAGTTGCCAAGCCTCTGAATTTTGATCATGTGACCATGGAGATGTTGAAATGGGTGTAAGTGAAAAATGGTTATCATTCACTTTTTTTCAATGCTGTTGTAACTGGACAGTTGCTAAACGGATGATTACAAGTCACGGACTACCTGTAATATCAAATATTATTTTGAAAGTGGCAGAGTTTTTATTTTCTATGCTTATTTTTGTGAGCTGTAGGCTTCTTCTTAGGGAGCAATTAAATCATATCAAAATGTAAACAAGGGTTAATAAAATTTCAAAGATCTTTCCTCAGCTTTAGAATGTATTCCAAAAATAAATGCCTAGTGCAAGGGAAAACAAAGCATGCCCACATTTCTCTTACAAAACCTACATTTTTCAGGGAAAGAAACAATACAATATATAGCAGTGATGGCGAACCTTTTAGAGACCGAGTGCCCAAGCTGCAACCCAAAACCCACTTATGTATCGCCGGGTGCCGGGTGGGTGTGGCCCACTTGGTGGGCGCAGCTACAGTGGGCGTGGCAGACTGGGTGGGTGTGGCCACTGGATGGGTGTGGCTGCAGTAATGGCATGGGCATGGCCGGGGGGCGTGGCCACCTCAATGTTGCTTATGGGGAGGGACACCTGTGGGAGCCGGGCAGGGCAGGGTTGGGAGGAGATCCAGGGGGTCTCTGGCGGGTGAGATGGTGGGCTCCCCAATGGCGGCTCCAGGCTGGCTGGCCTTAGGCCAGTGATGGCGAACTTTTAGAGACCACGTGTGCTGGGGTGATGGCGTGTGCCCACAGAGAGGGCTCTGCGTGCCGCCTCTGGCACGCGTGCCATAGGTTCGCCACCACTGATATATAGTATCTGGAGGTCCATTATTACCGAAAGCAATTTTCTTGGAAGCAGGAATGTGCTTGCTAAAATGCAAAAATATAAGCATTAAACAAAGAAGCTATGGAGTTTGCAAGAGTGATGGACAATTAAAGGAGCATTATTTTGTTAGAAAATAAACATTTTAATCATTATATTACATGTCTTCCATCTTGTAAGGTACCTTTTTCCAAAACCATTTCTTATTCAGCAAAGTCTAATCTGTACTAACACTGATGATGTTACCTAATTTGGGTAATGAAACATCTGCAAGAAAACAACCAAGCTCAGAAAGCACCAAGGACTTCTAATTTCAACCCTGAGCTACAAATATTTTCAATGTCTTTGGAGAGTCAGTTATTCAGTCATAGTTGTTCCAAGGATGCTTTTTCAAAAAGCGACTTTTTGTGTTTTTCCTTGAAGACGTTTCGCTTTAGATGAGAAGCAAAACGTCTTCAAGGAAAACAAAATCCAGTTACCTTTTGAAAAATCACCTTGGTACAAATATTCTCCTTTATTGGCATCTCTTCCCTTCCTAAGGTTACTGTTATTAATTTATTAGACTATGGTTCATTCATTTTTACCAATAGTTGATGGAATGAACTATATGTAACAAGTTACACATAAGGGAGTCATATTTTAATGCTTCTTTCCTACCAGTTGTACTGAAAATCCCTGGATTATCCATGCTTTATTTTGTTGTCCCTCCTGCCTCAAATTATGCCTCAACAACATATCTATGTCACCTCTTCACTTTATTTTCTTGAAATGTTTTGGAAAGCCTTTGATCATTCTTTTAATCCCCATTTGTTTAGTAACCCCATTTCTTCCTATGTACTTCTCTATTTTTTGAGGACTTCTCATCTCTTATTTGAAATCTGGAATAACAAAACAGAAGAAAAATCTTAGTCAATTTAACTTCATTAGTCTAGATTTTTATTTGTAAGGACTTTGAGGAATGGAAAATGTTGAATCAATAACTGATATTATTCTGCACAGCCCTCTGCTCATTCTGCAATTAAACTATAAATTTGTATCCATTTATTATACTCACACCTTACCTTGTAGGGCAAAATTCTTCCAAAGTGATTACTTAATAAGCTGCCATTACTATAATATGAAGTAGCATCTCAGGAAGAGCCAAAGTACGAAAGAAAATCATAACACACTGTAGTTTTTTTACAATACCTGATGCCAGATTTCAGATTGTATCTACTGATCATTTTGTAGGAATGGGGCAAACATAGCAAATATTTAGCATTTTAAAACTTTTTTTTACACCCTATTCCTAGTTATATTTATGTGGGAGTATCAAAGTGCACTTAGGATTTCAGTCTTTGAAGCACTGATCTTCTAGTCTGCTCATAAGTTTACCTGCAGGATTCTCCCACTGATTATGATGAGACTATTCAGAGAACATTTTATACTTCTACACAAATATCCAAATAAACATGAATAAAATAGCACAAGTTGGGAAGTATAAATATTTAAAATTCACAAGAAACCCCAATTTCATTATCAAAGTGACACCCATCCAACCAGCTAGATTCAGACTAAGCTTGGTGAATACTTAATCATTCACATCCTAACCAAGACCTATCAATTATTAAGATAGCAACTAAGGATATAGGCAGTTCCAAGCAAGGTGGTTATTTTTGTAAAATGAGGATGCTCAATTCTGATGAATTAAACATTTTCCAAATATGGATGGAATCCTTTGCTCCAAGGGTTCTAATCACAATCGATATAACAGATTTCTTTTTCCATAAGCATTCAAATTTGATGTGCTAGTCCTGGTAGATTTTCTTGTTTTCAATAACTGTTTATCAGACATATTATGAACAAGGGGCCTGTCTGTTTGAATTTTAAATTCCCATAATATCTTAGGCTGCTTATTTTCGAAAACTTTTTCAACTTGATCCTAGTTTTATTTTTGCAGTGAACAGTATTATGAATAATAAGCTTGTTACCTTCTTTCCATGGCAGACATATAGTAAGAGGCCTTGGGAGAGTTAGATATCTGAAAATGAACACTAATTAAAGGGTTTCACAAGTGATGGGGAAAGAAAGGTGGAAAGTAATTATGTGTGCTGTCTTGTGCCAGATGTTACTCTACTCACTCTTACAGGAAAATTCCAGGCAATGTCTTCAGTGCCTACACACATGCACACACAAGAATTTACCCTAAATCTAGCATATGCTTGCATTTCTGTTGAAAACATACAGACTGATTATATGCATGAATGAATCAACATTTTGGACAGTCGCTTTTTTTTTAAAAAAAAAAGGTAGCATCAAGCAATTTATGATATAGCATTTTTAATTTGACTAAATAAAGCCATGTGCAGGGTTTGCAAACTGGCTATTATATTTAAATAGGATTTTAAAATAGCCTAACAATTTATTTTAATCACATATTATTGAGAGAAAGTTTCTTTCTTATACCAAAGTGCAAAATCTATGTTCATAGGTAAGGCGATTTAATTAAGGGTTTCTTTTTTTATGCACAATGCTCTTAATTTTACTAAATACTTCAAAATAGGATGTTGAACAGAGTAGTGCAATGATATCTAACAGAAAAACCAATATACTATAATCTTCCACAGAAAAATCACATTTTTACTGATCTATTTATTAAAAACCCTGTGGGTTATTAAAAATTACCAGTCATGAATTGTAAAGGCAAGCCATATTTATACAACTTTCTGTTATACTGGTTTAGCCTATTGCTCCACATCTATTAAAATCAAGCAAACAACTGTGAGAAGGTTATTATTTGTAGAATCAAAATACTCCTTAAAATATTTACATTTTATAATATAAAGAATAGGAAAACACAAGTCTCATGTACAAGCTTAGGTATTCAAGTTTTCAAAGCATGAGAAATAGCTAAAATATTAATTTCAGCTGAAAGCTAGGGTTCTCAAATTGTCATCAGGGGTCGTGGTGGTCACTTTAAAAGCAAAAACAAAAAACCCGCCTTTGTGCAGATGAACCAGAAACATGGTCAACCTTGATCTAGGCTTTGCTGTTCCTTTTGCCAATAAAAACCTAGAATGAGCAAAGCTTGAGAACTCCTGTGAATTCTCCTAGATAATATATTTAATTCCAATCCTAACATTATTGACATCATTAGTTCTATTCATTTCAGGAGGTGGCCCATCAATGACAGAAAAGCTAAAGCCATAAAATACTTCACTAAAAAGTGTGCCTCGAAGCAGTAAAACCTGGACTGCTTCTGCTCACGGACCAATTCATTCTATCAGAAATGCCCAATAATGAATAATTAATACAGTTGGAATTCCCTCTGCTGCCACCATTTTCTTATTCTCTGGAATCTTTTGAATTCACGAAGCCATCAACCCTATTCAGCTTGAGCTGAAAGTTGCATTTGAATAGGGCTGCATTACAATCTCTCTTGTTTTCAAAGCCAATGCTGTGTTGTCATACTTAACAATACAAATCCATATTCATGTTTGTTGGAATAGCTCCAAATGCAAAGTACAAATCACCAAAGGCTACAAATAGCTTGACTGAAGCCCAATTTGACAAAGAATCTGTATGTATCGTTTATTGCATATTAAAAGAAGCCCCTTTCGGTCATTTTTCTATACAAGCAGTGTAAAATGTTCCAACTATTCAACTTTACTCCTATGTCAAGAGATTGTAAAAGAAAATGAATGTGCGGTACACAGATTGGTACCAGAACTGACTTAGTCCTACAAAACATTAAACATTGAATATAAAAAGTAAGTATCGATGGCACAATTATACCCAAGCATATAATATACAGACAGCTTTAGGACATATTTAAAACATATTATGTTCTATTTGTTTAGAACTAGAAGACAGACTGTGCCTTCTTTCTCTCTCATTTTTTTTTCCTTTCACCTTTTGCTTTTACCCCGATCACTTGGGTCCCTGTCTTTGTGATGCCTTTCTCGGTTCTTTTCATTGTCTTGCTCCCTTGGCCGTTCCCTACTTTTCTCTCTCTCTTTCTCGTGAAGGTGCTCTTCACTTCTAGGAACATCCTTCTTTTCAGGATTTCTACTTTCTCGTGAGCATTTGCTTTCAGAGTCCTTATCGCTATGTGAAAGCCGCAACCTCTCTTTGTCTCGATGCCCTTCCTCCCGGTTTTTTCTTTCCCTCTCTTTCTCTGAGCTTCTGTCTCGGTGTCGACTTCTTTCAGGATCCAACTCCCAGTCGTGCCTGCCCTTTTTGGAGTGGTGAGATTCGCTATAAAACCTTTGCCTTTGTTGATCGTTCTTCCTCCTACTGAAAGCCCTCTCCACGTGAGGACCCTGCCGGCCTGCCCAGGGGTCACTGTGACGCCTTTCGGGTCTTCTAGCATTTTTGTTTTGATAAAAGTGTTCAGGCCCTGAGAATCTTGATGGTTTCTGAGTGACAGGAGGGGCTGGTGTAACTGGTCCAACAAAGTGGGGTAGGTGACCTGGCAGGTGAAGTACAGGAGGCCAAGGCATGAGAGGACTTTGAGCAAAGCCAAAGCCCGGAGGTGGAAGGAGCGGTGGGGGCAGATGATGTGGAAACCCAAATACAGGAGTGTTCTGTGGGGAGAAATTAGGGGTAATGGCCCCAGGAAACTGAAAACCAGGGGGAGTTATTTTAGCGGGAGGAAAATTGGGTTGAGGAGTCCTAATTGGTGAGAAATTTCCACTTCCGGTAGGTAATTTGGTACTTAAGTCAGATTGATGACCTGTATTTTCCATTTCAAACTGAGATGATGATGATGATGATGATGATGATGAAGAGGGTGGTGGTGGTGGTGGTGGTGGTGGTGGCGGCGACAATAATCCTCTCACAGAATTTCCAGTCTCAAGGTTTTGCATCAAGGTGTCATTAATTTGTGAGGTACATGCACTATCTCCTTTAGATGCTTTTGAAACCAATGTTGTCTTGCATGCTTGATTATCAGCCTGATCTGAGGCTAATTCATTTCCTGAATTCTGCTTGTTATCGACTTTTGACCGTTCAGATTCTAAAGTATCAAGGTGCTGTATATCTTCACTTCTAGTACTATCGCCTTCACTTTCTGAACTATTGTTATGTTGGCCTCGTCCAGCTGCTTGCCTTGGGTCTCTCTTAAGATTAATGAATGGTGGAGATTTGGAATTATGAATGGTCATAGTATCAACAGATGCTGTTCCAACATTATTGCTCCCATCTCCTTTTCCAGCATCTGAAGGAACAGGAAAATTTATGGTCCTTTTATTTTCCTGAGGAACATTATCTGTATCACCCAACTTTAAACTGTTTTCTGGAGTCTCTTGGTTTTCCTTACTCTGTGATAGAATAGTTAAGTTTGCTAAAAATACCTCAGTAGAAACATCCGGTGGTTTCTCCTTAAGACTCAGACTTGTAAGAGTTCCTGGAGAGCAAGGGAAATCTGCTACTGATACATCCACTGCTAAGGTATTGTTGATGGTTTCTTTTACATTGTCCTTTTTATGCCTTGTATCTTCACCACCCACTGAAATGTCTATGTTTTCTTCCTTTATGTTTGTCTGTTTCTCTAATAAAGGCAGATTTTCATTAACTGGCTTGTCAACTGTTGGTTGGATATATTCAGGCATCTGCCCCGTGGTATCCAAAAGGCTTTGAAGAATGTCATCTGGCAGTGGCTTACTTGCTAGTTCGAGAGCAGATGATTGATTTTCCCATCCAACCAAAACCCCAGGAAGGAACCGTAGAGGTTTGGTGGGTTCAAGTTTGATGCTCTCCACAGCAGGTTCATTCACTGTGACATCTTCTGTACTACATTGTTGGGATTTGATCCTCTGCTTGTGCAGTACTGCAGTGAATGAATTAAAGAAATCATTTTCTTCTTCTTCTTTTTCAATTGACTCAGAATGAAGGACTTCTGATTTGTTCAGTTTACTTTTTTTCTCTGGTTGCAAATTTTCAGGACTCTCTTCAGCCTGGGTCACGGTTGAATTAGCCACAGCACTAATCTGCCTTTTTAGCTTCTGGCGAATTATCAATCCCAGCAGCAAATTGGGTCGATGGACTTCAATTCCTACACAAACACACACACACACATATATATATAATATTAAAAAAGGAACAATGTAATAATGGGAAACATGTATCTTGGAATTTTTTTTTTAGTTAAAACAAGCCACTCTGTGTCTCTACAATGCCAGATAGCTTAAATGGTTCACTGATATTACAAAATGTACTTTAAGAAGCACTGACAAAATTTCACTCTCCAAGTCACTATGTAAAAGTACATTTTACACTGTAAAATACTTAACTGTTAAATCAAAAATACTGATTCTATCCATGAGCTAAACAGAAAAAGAAATGCCTGCTTTCCATGCAAGGCTTCATATCAAGCTTCATTTCCAATATTCATTTCCAATATTCATGCAATATATGGTCAAACTGTTTGACTTCTAGCATAGTTAAAATATATATCTCAGAAAATAAAAAGGTTTTGTTCTTGGTTTTTTTTAATCAATAATATTTTAGTGCAAAGGATAATTCAGCCTATCTTTGTTACTTACCAGGACCATCAAAAGGTACCAACTGGTGTGGAATTTTATCAGAAGCACCTAAAGGGATAATATATAAATCCTTGATTTGCTTCATATTATTAGCTGCTACACCATAACGTTTTCTGCTGCTGAAGTAGGCAAAAAGCGAAGTATATGAAATCTGATCCTCTTCTGTAACAGGAGTAAAACGAACCACACATAGTTCCTATTATGAAAAAAGGCAAACATTTATTGTTGCCATGTTCTTAAAATAAAGACACACATATACACATCAGTTTTTAATGAAGTTTGTATTTCATTGATTTTAGATGCTGGGAAATTCACTCATGATTATCATAGATAGCAAACAAGTAAAAGCCACCCAAAGCTGCTAGATAGTGAAATGGGTGGCATGCAAATTTAACAAGTAACTAAGTAAATAAGTGAGAAAGCTCTACAGTTTCTCATATTGCTATTGCACACCAGCAAGACACATGCAGTTTGAAGCTATCTTAAAATAATGGTAATTAAATGCTGGACTATTTAAATGGATCTAATTTGTAAGCCTATTGCTTTGCTACTGAGGAAGGCAAGCTTAAAAATGTATGCAATATAGTAAATGATTCTCTCAAAAGAATTATTGAAACAAAGTTCTGCAACAAATCATATTATGTATTTTGAATATATGAAACATTAACATGAATAAAAATAAAATCATTTTTCATAAATTAAAGGTGGTCTCAGATGCCACCATAAGTATAAGAATTTTAGTGTTTAACGGTATTTCTAAAATGGGAATCTGTACAAGTATCATAGTTACAAGTTCTTTTATTCCTTTATAATACTCTTCTTCCCTTGGGTCTTTCTGTACCTTAATTTACAGTATCTAGGCTTCCCATATACTGAAATTGAACATATTATCTAGCTACTGGATTCATTACTGAACAAGGAACAGTGCAGTTTATTTGTTTTCTGCATTGGATTTCATATAAACAGTACTGATGAATTTATTTCAGGTAATAACAGCACCAGCATGAAATCCTAAACTTTTTAAAAATGACAGAACATTAAGCATCTAAAGCCACATTATATTACAAGAATATATTTTTACCTTTGTACCCAAAGCCTTTATTTTTTCAATATATTCCCAAACAGTCTGAGGTGATATCCTGCCACCTATTTGGATGCTATCTGGCAAATCCTATGGAAGACAAGTAGATGTATATTTTTATCACAAAACAATATTTTTTCCTCAATAAAAGAAATTAATTTTCATAATCTATATGCAAAAGTACATTAATGCTCTCTTTGGTGATTTCACATTGCAACATTTCATTGTCCACAGTAAAAGAAAATTTAAAAAGTCCCCAAGAAAATGGTAGAATTGTTGAGAACGCCATACTTACCTCTGTTAAACTTTCAAAAGAACCAGAGATTGGGTAAGCCTTGATAACAAACTTTGCCACAGATGGCATGTTGATAAAGCCTTTCCAAATGAAATTCAAACGAGCTAGAAATAATGTTTCACTTTCAACAGTCCCAGGTGTTTCTGATCTGAAACATAGGAATGAAGGAAAACAAAGCAATTTAATGTGGTAAGCAACTAACTGCATTAAATATGGATGGGTAAGGAAAGAGAAGGAAGACACTTTTGGAAGATATTTCCTGTATACGTCATAGTGAGCGGAGGCCTTGCTGGCTTTTCTTTGTTAGCAAGACAATTTTGCAAGCGAAATTGACACTTGAATGCCAGATCTCAGTTAGCCTAATCTTTCAGGAATACAGGAGAGATCATTGAGATTGTCCATGAGATTCTGGACAGCTATTCTTCATGAGTAGATTGTGGAAATTGTCTTTTTTTATGGTCAGTTCATGAGTGGACGGCTGAGAGTTGAAATTTACATCAAATTCCAATTTGCACTTTATGGACACTACGCTTGACTGAGCTTTATATTTTAATCACTTGTTTTTCAATTACTTTCTTTATTCTTTCATATTGGAAAGATTAACACCCCTCAGACTAGCAAAGTTCTATTGTATTCATTAGAAGCTTTGAGAACTGTACACTAGAGCCAGAGGATAAAAAAAATGGAGCAGAAATCCTTAGTGTAACTTTTAACTCCCTTTCAGCTAAGCTTTTGGACAGAATGGATCAGATGCTTTATAAAATTATAAAACAAGAATGAGCTACAATTGATATTTATGAAATTAATTTGAAAGGGGACTTAAATGCTATACAAACTTTCATCATTTACAAGCTGTGTAATGCACAACTTCTTACTATTCTCACAATATTCTTGTATTACATGACATGGCATGGCCTTGTGTTGCATTACATTATATTATAATAGTATTATACAGATTCGTGTCATCTTGAAATGAAAAGTATAAATGTGTTGCAGTACCAAGGCATTTCAGTCTGTTAGAGTAGGAGAAAAAAGAAGACAGAAGGAACAAAGTAATGTTCACTTTTGGCAAACAGACTTCCGAAGGTTTCATATATTACAGTTCAGTCTGAAAAACCTGGACATTTTTTAAAATTTTTACTTCTGTTTGGAATTTTTTACTACCTATCTTCATTTATGGAAAATGGCTATCAGTCAAGAGAACAGAACATTTTTATTCAAAGTGCGTACAGTAGCTTCTATTTTCTTATATACTTGAGTAGCAATCACAAATGATTACCTAGAGCTGGAAGTGGACGCAAACGCTGGATTTGACAATTCTTTATCTTCCTCTAATAATTCCAAAGCTAAGATATTTGTTGTTGAAGTAAGTGCATCTGCTATATTGTCAGCTTCGTTATCTGATGGCTTCCGAGCAACTCCAATTGATACTGTCACTTTTTTCCCAGAAAGATCATCACTGGGTGGTGCCATTCGACCTTGAGAAGAAAATTAAAAAGCTTTATTGAGTATTTGTCATATTAAGCCAGTTTAAAATGATTATAATATATAATAACAATTACTGCTGTCACCATAATGCTAAAAAATCTTGCTGGTTGAAATTAAAAAGACAGTAGTATGAATATATCTAGAATTTGACTCAAGCAGTTAAATGATGTTTGGATAATCATCAAAGAGATGTAGATTAAATTTAATTTTTCATAGAAAAACAAGCATAATAATGATGAAGTTTTATAAAAAAAAAACAACTTTGCCATCTTCCTATTTCTCTGCAGTGAACTGCAGTTCTGAAGCTTTTATGCCAGGTTTAAATTGCTTTGCTTTGAACTTCACCTATTCATTGGTTTGTTAATACTTCAAACTATAGTTTGAGATGGGCTCATTTAAACTAAATATAGCTAAGAACTATATTCTTGTTCTGAAACTTCTGAGGGAGAGAAAAGTTTTTAATTGCCTTCTAACAATCTGGCCAGATGCAGGGCAGCTTTGAAGCTTCGTGTTAGAAAAATGACCAGTGCCAAAAAAATATTGCTGAACTACTCCTAGTAGCCATGACAAACGTGACCAATGAAGAGAAATGCTGGATTTGTACTCAGTAACATCGGGTTACCTGCAGGTTCCCCAGCCCATTCTAAACTATCATCCAGTCAATTAGAAAACATATTTTGTTAATTTGGTCTTTGATACTAATTTTACTGAGTTTAGCATCCATACATTATTTAAGATAAGCAGCAACCTCTGAATGTAGGCAAAGCAACAGAATCCAATTTCTTACTTATTTGATTTATATCTCATTGTTCCTTCAGGGGCTCAAGACAGTATAGATAGTACAGGGTTTTTTGTTTTTGTTTTGCACAATACTCTCTGGTGGTAGGTTGGTCTGAACAGAAGGATTTGCAAAGTCGTTCAGTGAGCTTCCCTGACTGAGGATGGATGTGAGTCTAGGGCAGGGGTAGGCAACCTTGGCTCTTTTATGACTCGTGGACTTCAACTCCCAGAATTCCTGAGCCACCATGCTGGCACAGGAATTCTGGGAGTTGAAGTCCACGAGTCATAAAAGAGCCAAGGTTCCCTACCCCTGGTCTAGGGCTCCAGGGTGCCAGATCAAGAGCTTAATCATTACATTCCTCTGACTTGCACAGTGAACCCAAAATCAGTTTTGCTTCTTCAAAATTTAGGGCACATGAAAGATCTCCAATTTTAAGCTGTGGTTTGGAGAGATTCTGAATGAGCTTGGAAGTAAAGGGCGAAAGAGTCACCCTGATTAGACTGTTAAAGGATCTGCATCATAGAATACAATATTGGATGGAGTGACCGACACAAATTCAAATAATCACTTGTTGAAGAAACTTGCTTTATGACTTAAGTCATTCATTTTTTCATGTCTAACTTACTTCCTGGGATTGGTGAAAGTACAATTGGATATCATTTTACAATTCTACTGAGAAACTGCTATTATTCTAGGTTTTAAAGTGAGAAGAAATGCTAAGGACCAAGCAGTTCAAATAGCACATATAATTTTTAAATAAGCTTGTGTATACTACCTGTGCAAATTTTACAATTAAGATCAAATAGGTGGTTTTTATGTTGACTTGTTGTATCAGAACTGGAAGATTCATTAGCTTCTTTAACTTTTTCCGTTTCCTCCACCTTTTCTACAATTTTAATTGGAGCAGGTTCCTATGTGAAGAAGACAAATTTTATAAATATATACACATTTAGGTCCTTTGATCATAATAAACATCACCTACATCATTTATTAACATTGCTTTATAAAAGAAATAACATTCTGCATTTACTAAAGGTTATAGAATCTCCATTGGCATTATGCTGAGTAACTTAAAATGACTTGAGCAAAACTAAATGCAATAGTAGAGTAAGAGTGGACTAGCTTATTGTTTACTGTTATCAATTCTGTTCGAACTCTTCAATAAATTAATTTCAATAAAATATATGTACACAGATAAACATGTCATCCAGTATTAGGACCAATTAAACAAGAGAAAGTGCTTCAGATCCAAGGAATCCAGAGCTGTCTTCATCCTGATTCTGGAATACCTATAGATCATCTCTGCTGAATAATATTTTCACAGAAATATTATGAAGACTTATGAGGAAACATCATTCATATCCTAACTCCTGCTCATTAGAAGATCTAAATGTTAGGATTGAATCCTTCCTGTAGAAACTGCTACAATATATTTTTAATGTTCTGGATGTTACAAGGAAGTAAGTTTAGCACAAACATGTTTTCATTTACATATTGCTAGCTTTCTCTAGTACAATTAACAAGGAAAACACGTAACTCATGAAAGGTACTCACAGATCTCTAAAGTAGGCTGAATAAATCAAAGATTAGACAACCTACATATTATATTCTAGTACAGGGGACTAGTGGACCAGTACCGGGCCGTGGCATGCCAGCAACCGGGCGGCACAAACAAGCAAAGCCCCATCCGCAAGATGCAGGCAGTACACAAAACCACGCCCCCTCCGATCCATGGAAAAAAACTCTGTTCACAGAACCGGTTCCTGGTGCCCAAAAGGTTGAGGACCTCTGTTCTAGTACATAAGGCCTGCTAATGAAAAATGTACTGTTACTTTAATAGCAAATATAAATTATACCTGAATTTCCATAATAGTTGCTTCTTGCTCTTTAACTGGAGCTTCACTTTCAATTTCTATTTCTCCTTTATGAGTAATTTTGGTGATTGGTCGTATTTCAACTTCCCTCTGCTCTTTTTCAATCATTTCAATTGTCTATCAATAAACAAACAACAGGTTAGACATACAAGGCAAGAGCCTCCAGAAACAGCAGACAAAGTTCTAGGACATGAAACCATAATTAAAGAGATGGAAACTGGATCTCTTCTTTTGTATTAGATTACCTTTAAAAACAAATGCCAGTAAATTAGTTTGTATACACGTTGAAAACCTGACAACTATTTTACATACTAGAAGATATGGTTCATTCTCAAATAAAACATTTAAGGTTCAAAATTCCAGGAATGTTAAGAAACTTATTCAATCGAGTTCATTTTACTAGAGAAGAATAAAAGTATAGTTATAATGCTAAAGGACGTCATCCGGAGAAAGATTTCTAGGATATTTTGGCCAGAGAGCAATTGGGGCAAGAGAACCAAAAATGGACGTATAATGAATTGCAGCAAGAGAGAACCAAATTTACTCCGTGCCCAAATCTTATATTAGGAGAACAGCTGCAAGTCTATATAAAATAAAATACTCAATTGAAACCAGAAGAAAATATTAAATAATTTCCCACATGCTGAATGCAGGCTGTGAGGGGGTTGAATTTACCCTATTTAGCAGCTAGCTTAATGTGAGCTGAGAGAAGCATTGATCATTTGATTATTTAGGAATGAAAGGATTGGCAGGGATAACAACTTTTTGAAATCAAATAACTTATAAGGAGACGAATTCAATATGGTAGATAAGCCATACATGTCTATTTTCTCTTTTCCTCCATGCAGCTAGTTCTTTGGAAGCTAGTTCTTCAGGACTCATTCTTATGAGATGGTCTGGAGTAACTTCACCTTTCAATACTCTTTTAAAAAGTATCTGGAAGAGGAATCAATAATTAGTTATATGTAATCAACCAAAACCTGCATTTTTTGGTATCAATTCAACAAGAAAAATATTAAGAACTGCAAATCAACTGAAATTCTATTAATTTCCCTTGCATGACAGTTTATCTACAGTAATTTTACACCAACGTAAATATTTCATATTTAGTTTCAATGGTTTTTATATGGTGTAATATACTAATAGGAAGAATGATTGGTTTTCTGTTTAAATACTCTAAAACATTCTGCAACTGAGCTGAAAAATTTAGGCCAGTCTTTGAACTTAAGAGCAAAAAGTAAAAGAAAGAAGCCTATAAATTTAAGAGCCTATAAATTTAAGAGCCTACTCTGCTAATCTGTATCTGCAGGGCTTAGGATACACGCAGAAAAACAGGATGCATCTCCTGTGTTTCTGGAAGTAATGACTATGTTATCTAAAAATATAATAATTAGATTCATTATAGTTTTTTAATGGTGGCATTTCAAATCTGCTTTAAAAAGACATTCCCACAAAAGTTTAGTTAGAAAATTTTTATTTTTTTCTGCTTATAAAGCTTGAGATATGGCTTCTATATCACCCATATTCTAGATCTATAACATAAATCAAATGTTAGGTATATGCAGTCTGATACAGTCCTAGTATATATACACTGAAGACACTAGCATAAGGCTTGTGGCAAACCTTACAGGCCAGCAGTGAGATACAAAAGTTAAATCCAAAGCAGGGAGGTCTAGCAGTTAAGGCACCAGATTAGAAACCATGAGACCATGAGTTCTAGTCCCACCTTAGGCATGAAAGCCAGTTGGGTGACTTTGGGCCAGTCACTCTCTCCCTCAGCCTAACACAGTGTTGTTGTGGAGAAAATAGGAGGAGAAAGAAGTATTAGATAAGTTTGCTGCCCTGAGTTGTTTATAAAAATAATAAAGGTGGGATATCAATTAAATACATAAAAGTATTAATTATTTTTAACAGAATGATTTAGGAAGGAAATTGTTACGTTAAATCCTAAATTTTGCTTCCCTAGGATGTAATAACGTATTGCAGGGTTTTGTTTCAGTAAAGGTAGTCCTTGACTTACGACCATTTGTTCAATGACTGTTCAAAGTTATAATGAAACTAAAGGGACTTACGACCAGTCCTCGCACTTACTATTATTGTAGTGTCCCTGCAGACACTTGATCAAAATTCAGCCACTTGGAACTGGCATGCATTTACAATGGTTGCAACATACCAGAGTCATGGGATTGCCATTTGCAGCCTCCCCAAGGGGCTACCAAGAAACAAAGTCAACAGGGGAAACCAGATTCACTTAACGACTGTGGTGATTAGCTTAACAGCTGCAGCAAAAAAGGTCATAAAATTGTTTGTGACTCACTTAACGTCTCCATGATTTAGCAATGGAAGCTCTATCCCAATTGTGAGTATAAGTCAAGGAATACTCTGTATAGCAATTATGCTGCTAGTAGGGAAAGAATGCAATTGTCATTCATTCATCTTTGCTCATTCAGCTTCCTATCCATTGAAATTTTATTCTGGGGAACTATCCAAAGGTAAAAAGATGACATACTAGTAAAAATGTCCATCTTATTTTCATCAGCAGAAAGTTTGTGGGCACAGCTCTATTCACATATACTATTACAGTTCTCTATCAAATCTATAGTTTAGGTAAAGAAATGTGAACCCCTATTTTAGGAGGCAAAATGCCTCTGAAAAAAATTAACAAGCAAGATATTTTAGCATGCAAAAGGAAAATTAGTGTTTTTATTAAATATGGACAGAAAAAAGTGGATTAATCAATTTGAATATGGAATAAAAGTATGTTAGTAGATTTAACTCTGAGACTTCTATAATGTTAATAATCAGGATGGAAGAAGAAATTATGAGCATTTAAAATTATTTTAGGCCTCCACAAAGAAAAAGAATTATTCTTTGAAGAGTTTCCAAGTACGTAAGAAATGTCATGACATACTTTATTTTTCGGATCTTTCAGATTAAATATCAAGCTTCTGTACTTATTTTTATACTTGGAATCGGTATCCCGGAAAAAAGAAAAGAGCTCTTTTTCAATTTTATTTGCAACTTTTGCTGCTCTTTCTTCAGGGATCTTCAGTGTTGAGTCTGCAAGCCTGAAAAAAATACACAGATTTTATTTTATTTGTTCAGGAAACAAACTGAAATAACAGGAATGTCTTTACTGCAGAATCCATACCTTTTCTCTAGAATTTCTTTCAGTGACTGTTTAACACTTTGTCTTATCTGATCAACAGAAGGTTTGGCTGCAGAAGCAGGAGGTGAGTGTACATTAGTTGCTGTTCCCTTCTCGGTTCTCTTTTTCTTCATTTCCTGCTTATCCTGAATACCTTTTGAAATATAACCAAATTATCCATTTTAGAGAGCTGAGGTATGGAGAAATAAAACCACATTTCTACAACTGATCATATTCTTAATAATGAGAACAGGAAGTTTTACTGTTGAAAAAATAAGGTGAATTGACTGAATTTAACACTATTTGTAGACTGCCCTGTGACAGACGCTGTGAAAAAGCGCAAAATCATAAGTATAACAACAATAAAAACAACCAGCAGAAATCACAAAAAAGTCTTATGATGGGCATCTATATCTAGTGTGGTTATGTGCATTGGAACATATTTTTTTTATCTGCTTGCAAGGTCAAAGAAGGGATAGTGGGCCAACATGCCCCTGGCGAAAGTGTGATTGAAAGTGTGGGAGTAATCACAAAGAAGGCCTACTTAGCAGGCCCGCTCTAAAAGTTCACAGCACCACAGGAAGTTTCCATTCTGGCAAGGTACTGACCAATATACCCAAGTATTTAAAGGTAGCCACCAATCTTTTGAATTGGGCCCAGAACACCAAACTTTAAATTGGTTTTATTCTGCACTGGCAAAGTTTCCCACTAGTAACCTGGCCACTATATTTTTATGTCAACTACACCTTCTGAATCAGTTCCAAAATTAGAGTAATCTAAACGAATGGTGATCAGGCCAAAGACATCCAAACAGACTTTTAACTAGCATATCAACCAGATCTGGGCAATGTCCCTGACTATAGCTTTCCCTGCTGCTTAAGCAAGAGCCAAGAGTCTAGGGTGACTTCCTAGTCATTACAGGCAGCACAACCAAGCCAATATTACACAAATGCCCAGTTCCAAAAAAACCTCCAGATTTGTTCAAAAAGAACAAATTTCTTATTTTTAAGATTTAATCTGAGCTTCTTTTATCCATCCACATTCTTAAAGTCTCCACACTACAGTATGGTTGAAGATTTCCACAGTATTGGTTTGACCCACAGGAGCAATGTAAGAGTATGACCAACCTTACACCAACCAAACTGACTGATTATCTTTCCTAGAAGTTTCATTTATATGCTGAACAACCTTACACTGAAAATATTCGGTTAAAAGACAGTCTCACATTCTAATTTCAAAGCAAGTTTCTGATCACAGCTACTGACTCTTATGCTGTGGAAAGCAACCCTTTTCAAGCAGAAACTAATTTTACTTTCTTACTGCTTATTTTTCATTAATTTGGTTTCTAAAATTTTTTGGGGGGTGACATCAACAGAGCAGAAGGTCATTTTTTTCCCTGATAGATCAAGTATGTTAAATTCCGGAGAGCCTTTCTATTTTATTGCTCAAATATAATATGAATAAAACTAATCAATCAAAATAAATAATATGATTTCCTGTCTAATCTCAGAGGCACTATCCTTATTATAACCAATCAGGCAAAATTTAATATTTTAAACCCGTATATTTTTGGAAGCTTATACTTCAGATGTAATGTGCAAAATTATGGTTATGTAAATTAAATCAGATTAAATTATATTCAGTGTGAGACTTGTTTTTAAACAGAAAAGTTATTTTTTACAGTGTTGCATATTCCCACAATAGAGTGCCATTCCTTAAAAGAAGAGATACAGGCAATTTCTAATAAAAACATAAGGTATCTTAGAAACTGTTAGCTTGTACAGAGTCAACTCTGTGCTTTAAAAGAATGTAAGGTTCATCCATGCTTAATAATAAAAAATAAACAGTTGACAGAAAAAAAGCCAATTGTTTCATTCAATGAATCATTTTTCAGATTTGTTAAGATTTATGATATTGGTACCAAATGCAAATAAACTATTCAATCTGATTGTTGCATTTCCAGCAGTTTTTGAATACAACTTACACATTTTGAAAATCATTATCAGCAATTTTGGTTTTAATTACCTTGCTTTAGTGTGCTTTCACTTGAACAGGAAACATTATCTTTATTCAATTTTTCAAATTTGTCTTCAGAAGCTCGTCGAGGAACGGAACTCATTTGCCCTGTTTTTTTGGGAATCTGCTGCCCCTTTTTACTTTCAGAATTTTTATATTCCAATACTGCTTTTCCTTCGCTAGATTCCTGAAACAGTTACAACACTAATTATAAGCCTTTTTTCTGTCCAATTTTTCTTTACTCTCAGGATCAAAGCATCTATAGAAAAATATGCATTTAAATAATCTATGTCACAACTTCAAATTGTTCCCAAGATGGCTAACTACATAAAAATAAAATAAAATAAAATAAAATACCACTGAAATATTTTTGCGGCTGACACCTGTCAGCAGAAACCAGGGAGGATATCTATCTTATCTGTTGGGTGAGGCACCCGGTCTACCAAATATAAATCAGTCTGTTCTGCGTTTCGCTCCAATCTAGGAGCATGTTTTGCAGGCAGACCTCACATTCTGCTGACAGGAGTGAGGGGGAACCTGTGGCTCAAAAGGGTAATACAGCTGCCTAATATGCAAGCTGCTCAGGTTCGAATCCCTGAAGGGTGTGACTAGCTGATGAGGGCAAATGAGCCTGAAATAGCTATACTAGTCTCCCACTAACTCTTTGTCAGCCACAAAATTTTGAATTTATAGTGTTCACAGTATGTGAGGTCTGCCTGCAAAACATGCTCCTAGATTGGAGCGAAATGCAAATTGAATATTGACAATTGAATATTCATCCTTTTCAATTCATCCTTTTCAATTGAATATTCATCCTTTTCAATTTTCTTCCTCTCAGGATTTGATCAGAACACCTTTTACCAGACTAGAGGAGAAGAGGAGGTATATGGAAAAAAGGAAAACAAAATGTTCTTTTCTTCAATCCAGTGATAAAGGCTCTCGTTCTCTGGTGAGAAATACAAATTAGACTTCATCTAGTCATTGTAACCATGAATGTTAATTAATAATAAAAGCATAAACCTATAACAGGGGTGTCAAACTGCTGGCCCGTGGGCCGGATGCGTCATGCTGAAACCACGCCCACCCCATTGCCAGCAATGGAAAAAAAGTCATGTGACATTGCAAGATTGACACCCCTGACTTTTAAGGAACCATAAATCTTCTAAGGAACCAACTATTCATATTTAATACATAGTAAAATGCTGCTTTGCATTTTACAATCTTGGTTAACATTCCTTTGCAGAATTACATATCTAAAACAATAGTTTAAGCAATACGAGCACTGATTTGTTGCTCAGAGGCATTTTTAGCTGAGCATTCTGAAATATAACATAAATATGAATAATTAGGTCCAAAGATGCTATTTTATGAGGCAACTGGACTTTCTTGATTTTTCTTTGAAGATGTTTCACTTCTCATCCAAGAAGCTTCTTCAGCTCTATGACCTGGATGAGTGAGACTCTCCATAGACATGAATAATTAAAATTATATGAACTTTGAAGGAAGGACAAGTTGCAACACAATAGATTTTAATTAGCAATTAATCTGGGATCTTATCCATGTTTAATAGCAATAGCACTTAGACTTATATACCACTTCACAGTGCTTTCCAGTCCTAAGTGGTTTACAAATGTCAACATGTTGCTCCCAAAACTCTGGATCCTCATTTTACTAACCTCAGAAAGATGGAAGACTATTTCAGGACTTGATATTGAGTCAGGAAGCTGAATATCTATTCAGAGTTACATAATTCTTTATTAATCATACTTTAACTGGAAATGAAAGTAATATAAATATACCTTATATATTAAAAATCCTCAAAAAAGATGATACATGTTTTATAGCCAACTAATTTAATAAAAAATTTAGTCCTTTCTTCTTCTATTGGAAAACAAGTAATTGGCAAAAGTTACAAATGACTACATATTAGGCAAAAGCATAATAATAACTGGAGAAGAAATAGTTATTAAAAAAATAAATGATTTCTTGCCTTTTAAAACCATATATGGTGCATTTGAAAGAAAACATTTTCAAAGGGTTACCACGAAATTTGCTGTAATCTGCATATACAGTAAAAAGAAATCTCATTTCTTACCCGCTTAAAAATTTTGACCTTATGTTTCACAGAGTCTTCTCCTTGCTTTGGGGTCTTGTTTTGAGGGCCCATGAAAGTTTGCTTGGACATTCCAGGCTTCTCACACTCCACTGGTCTATTTTCTCTGGTTGTTTCAAGTTTCACATTGGCATCCAGCATATTCTTATCAACTGAATCTGGTTTCTTGTCTTCCTCAGCACAGCATTTGATGCAAACATATTCTTTGTCTTCTTCTCCCATTTGCTGTGCTTGAAACAAACTCAATCCAACACAATCACCATGAAACCAATCATCGCATCTACCACAGCCTACCATGAACCTACAACCAAAAAAACACACAAAAATTACATTGCTTTATCATAATCTTTATATTATACTAAACATAAAACTTTTGTAACTCTCCTAAACGGCCTCTCATATAGAATAGTTCCTCCTTGTTTGGTATATTTTGTGCAGAAGAATGCATCCATTTCTCCAGCCTTACAACATGGTATAAAACGCCAAAGTTATAGCAAGAGGATTTTGTTATGCTAATCAGTAGATTTTACTATCATGCTTAATAAAATATACATCTGCAAAATAGAAATTAAAGTTTTGAATTTTGTTCCAGCAGTCTAATAAAGATTTCTACAAGTTTCAAGTTCAGAAAAAATGCAACCAATTAATACATTCATTGTTAGATCACATAGATCAGTAAAACAATTGCAAATTAGGATCTGCTTTTCACAAATAGGCAATGTCCAAATGTTATAATAAAAAGATTAATCATTCTTCCCTATTCCAGATTACATAGTAAGCAGAATCACAACTGCCACTATACTTATCAAATAATACAATAAAATCCTTGAAGCTTGCAAACCTCACTGAAGAACTCATCGAAGCCATGAGTTGTCCTTAAAGGGGGTTGGACTTGATGACCTCCAAGGTCCCTTCCAACTTTATTATTATTATTATTAAATTGATAATTTTCTAAATGTGTAAACCCCTGGTATTCTTTCTTCCCCAATGAAATTTGACAGGAATAAAACTTTCAAGTAAGATAAATTACCCATACTTTAGCATATTTAAATGCATTAGAAGGCAACTCCAATCTCTCTCCCAAATGGAGCCAGTAGGAGGGAAAGAAAGGAAATACTACCTCTTGTTATTTTCAGGTGTGCTTTTGTAAATTTTAGAAAATAAGTTACTTGAAACATTTGAACTGGTCTCAGAAAAATCTTTATTATTACAACTGGGCCAAACGTCATTAGCAAACAATTTTGCCTACATCTTCAAGCCTAAAATCTCCATTATCCCAAATTATCTTGAAGGTATTTCAATCAGCTTGAATAACTTTTTAACAAGTTTATGAATTTAAATGATCTATGAATATATGCATAGTCCATTTATTTTATAAGGAGATAAAAAGGAATTATTTTACCTAATTAAAAATATTTTTCTTCAGACTGAAAAGTATTTGTGCTGTGCATGCATATCTTTCTGTGTACATGTGTGCACGTGTATGTATCCACATCCCAATTGCTTATCCAAATGTAGAAACTTTTTATTTTGAATTTATTTAATTCTATAATTAGAAAGTAAGATAGTAACAACCTCTTATTTTTTCATGAACGTATCATGGAGAATGGTCAGATTTCATTAGAAAAACAAAGCATGCTAGGGAATATAATTTACATTTCAGAAATGACTGCAAATAAAGCAAATGACAGTATTAAGTATATGTGAAAATTTCATGAAGTTTATTAATATGATTGACTCTTAAACTTGACACAGTGAAGTAGGCCAGAGATATTTTATGAATGGATGTAAAAATATTGTTTCTTTATCGTTAGAAAAAATAGATTTTTAAGAAGGCTATAAATGTATGAAATAACAGTAAGCCCATGGGTGGCACAGAAATGAAAATAAATAAATAAATGAATGAATGAATAAGTAAATAAATAAATAAATAAAGTAAAAAAAAACATTCCTTTCAAGAAAACCTGAACTTGGCTATCGTCAGAAAAAAGTTCACATTCTTGACAAAACTGAAAGTTCTGTTTTGAATAAAAAAATGAAAAATGTAGAATGACTAAGAATGTAGAAAGATAGGGATTAGTACTTAGTCCATACATTTAATAATATTCTAGTGGCTGAGAAACTGGAAGACCAATACAAAAAAACAACAATGCTGACTTTAAAGACTATACTGAGTCATTTAAAAAAGTAGTGCACAAACTACTTTTGAGATATAAAGGGGTAGGGTTCAAAGAAAGGACAATTCATATATTATGAAAATATATTCAGCCCTTAAGTATATCTTTGGATAAATTGTATATTTATCAGATTAAACAGGAAAAAAGACCAGTTGTTTTCTTCTGTTTTAGCTAAGGTTTTTTTAAAAAACAAACTAAACTATGTATCATGATCCTTAAAGGAACAATCATAAATTTTCTTCTATTTCAGATATTAAAAAGTTGATTTCATTAATCTCTGAATCGCATCTGATTTTAACAGAAGTGCACTTGTTTTCACATTGTCCAGTTTGCAGTAATCTAAATTTTCACACTGACTATTCAATAAATTATGTGGGCATATTACAATGTTTTAGTTATTCTATTTAATAAAATCATTTAAGAACAGATGAATGCACTACAATCTTTGCATAAAAAGAAATTGCTTTTCTTTTTCTTTCTTTTGTTCCCTAACAGGAAAAAACTAATTCTGCTAACTAATAAAACTTTTTTTTTGCCGGTTAACAAACTTTTCTCTGAAATAATACTAAGTCATAATCTGAAAAATAAAATGTAGAAAATTATTAACCAATAACATTGTGTTCTTGGATGTATATATTAACTTTATCATTAGCTTAAGTCTCAGAAATGACAGATTTCACTTAAGCATAATGAAATCTGCATATAACCGATAAGGACTCAGTAAGTGTAACAGATGATTCTTAATTTACTGGGAAAAGATTTAAACTGGTAATGAAATATTGGACACTGTATTAACTTGTACTACAATTAGATTACATTGGCTATTTTCAATAGAATGTAATGAGTATACATTCTACCACTTAGACAATTTATGTTAATTTAGTTCTTATCAGTATTTTACCGAATTATAAGGTTCCAAATAAAGGCAGGATTCTTACTTATTCTATCCCTGAACTATTAAACCTCCAAATGTATCACAGAAATTGGCAGGAAGAGAAAGAATACATTTCCCAACAATAAAACATGGGTGGATTCAATGAAAATTTTAATGTGATTTTTTGCATATTATATTTCTAAGCCTTACTATTTTTTATTAAAATATTTTTATGAGTAATAGTGGGGAAGAAAAATTCTTAATAAGCTATTAAGTAGCCATTTTTCCAATAAATTTAGACCTCATTTTTTTTAAGAAACCATAAACTTTTAGCCACTAGGTCAGTGATGGCGAAACTTTTAGAGACTGAGTGCCCAAACTGCTACCCAAAACCCACTTATGCATCGTCCAGTGCCGGGTGGGTGTGGCCAATTGGGTGGGCATGGCTGCAGTGATAACGGCAGACTGGGTGGGACTAAAAAGTTCAATCAATTCCAACTTTGCAAAATCTTTTTTCCCGTGAGAAGTTGAAATTGACTGATTGAACCTTTTTTTTTTTTTTTGCACACGGTGGTGGAGGCCTAAAGCGAAAAGGTTTTATAAAATCCAGCTGAAGACCTAGGACTGGGGCGAGGGCATCCGTGCCCAGAGAGAGGGCTCTGAGTGCTGCCTCTGGCACCCGTGCCATAGGTTCGCCACTACTGCACTAGGTTATTACTTTTTAGTATTGACATTTAAATGGAAGAACTAATAGAAAGGAGCAGCTAATTATGTGGGATAATTGTGGTTGATAAGACTTTCTAAAAGAAACTGTCATTCAGGAAGAGCTGGTAACAAAGCATTCTTCTCTGATAAGTTTTGCAGATGTTACTGTAGTAGTATTCAACATGCTGGCCCACTAACACTAAGGCTCTGGCTGTAGATTGCTTCTTAGTTTGATGTCCAATTGCATTAACCATGTTGTAAGGCTGGAGTGGATACACAGCTGCAACAGAAAGAAAATAAATATTTTAAGATAGTAATTGGTGACATTTAGCAGATTTAACAATTGTTAAATACAACTTATATAATTCTGACACTTAAAATCTCTAATTACCTATATTTGTATTCTTAAATTCTACCGTAGTGTTTTGTATGCAACAAGTTACTGTAAGCAAGAACACCTGCTGCAAGGATACTTAAAATAATAATTGTGTTAAGATATGGACTATTCATTTCCACAAGAATCTCAATGTTACAAGTAGATGCCACTACTCAGAGTACTACTAAAACATTCCAATGTGATGTAGACTATCTTTTTCAAAAAAAATATCAAAATATAACTTTAATATGAGCAAAGCAAAGCTTTTTGCTGGGTAAGTCAGAATCTCCTTCTTGAAGGTAGCATTAAAACAAACAAAATTAGAAAACAAAGAAGAATACACCAGTCCAAATTCACTTTATTGTAAATACAATTTAAGGCTGTTTTGTAAAAGCAACCCAGCTAGTTGTTTAGGAAAGTCGTAGCATAATATATATTATGTGTCTGTCAATCAATTCATTCCACTTTACTTTCTGTACAGGCATGTAACACTTCACATGTGGTGAGAAATATATATCCTCAAGACATGGCTTTTCCATCAAGCGGGATTGGCCTAGGGGGGGATTTTATAGGGATTTTAAAGGGATTTTATAATTTTAAATCTAATACAGGTCATTTAATATATATTTTAATTTGGCTTTTAGATATTTATTGTATTGTACTGTTTTTATTTACCTGTAAGCCGCCCTGAGTCCCTCGGGAGAAGGGCGGGGTAT